ATATATATGAGGTCAGGAGTTTATCAGAATGTATACATGTTTGACACAGACTTAAAATCGCTTGTCATGACAGATCACTCCATGTTGGTCACCCCAGGAGGCCGGCTGGACCCACTTAAAACCCGGCCAACACCGCATGAAATGTGACACTACCGCACTGCGAGTCCCGACGGTCATTTCTTTATATAGGGTCGCGTGGCCATAGGATTAGGAAGAAGTATGGATATCACGCACCAGTCTAGCCTTTAAAGAAGGGTTTACTTAGTGTACACGCCGGATAACATACAGATAGGCACTTAAATCTTATCTTCATACCATTTTTTATCGCTCGATAAACAATGGTGATACAAATGTCAACAAATATGCACGCTATCTTTTAGAAACTAAAAATATGACAATTGAGACGTTAAATGCTTTCGCAAAATCTAGGCTCACCAGGGCTCCTACTTGTTGACAGAAATAACGCGCATTGCTGGCAGTTCTCATAGTCTAGGCGATGGGCTGCTGGACATAGAGATTTAAGTTATTCATTTGGAGAAGTTTAGAGGCTAAACTTGCCACTGATATGGTGATTAATTTCATCAAATTTAATGAAAACTATTTATAAGAAAATATCTACTGCCACTTATTTACTTTACGTATACCTACCTTTTGACCGAATAACTATTGGGCAATAAAATATAATAAGTAGACCAGAGGTTGAAAATAGCTTCTTGCATATAAGTTAAAATAAGGAATTCACAGAGTACCATTCAAAGAGGAGCGGTGTACATGAACAGATAAAAATGTGACATAAAAGTAGAAGTAGAAGAAGACATTGAGAAATTCGGTTACCTAGATGTCGTCAGTTGCAAAGGCTTGAAGAGCTGTCGCCCACGTGGACCCCCAATCTGAGGCCCAAGAGCCTACTCTACTTTTAAAATCTCCATAGCGACCAATCAGAGACGCGGATTTTTGTCGTCAGAGGGTGAGTGGTCCAATAGGAAAACAGGAGACAGAGTTACGTAACTGAAGTATAAATCATCCCGTAGCGCAGGCGCTCAAACGACAGCCTAGAAGCAGCGCAGACGAGGTCGCTACATCGTACTATTTGCTCAATTGATCAAACGTTTCTAGATCTGTCTACGGTTTGGCAAACACGGCATGGAAGGGAGGGGTAGCCTGGAACCATCGGGAGCTTTCAGGTGTCTCTACGGTGCTGGGAGCGTTATTTGTCCGTGCAGGTCGATGAGCGCACGCCGGATTTTTTTACGGTCTTGGTATCAATTATGAATAGTATGTCCATGTTACCTTACCATAATACGGGGTTGCAAGGTTGGGTTTAGTATGAATTGTATGTCCATGTTAGCTCGCCATAATAAAGGGTTACAAAGTGGGTTTAGTATGAATGGTATGTCCATGTTAGCTGGCCATAATAACGGGTTGAAAAGTGTACTCCAATGGCCGGCTAACTTCTTTGGCATATGTCTATTCATATTTGCCCAATTTCTACTAATTTGCAGCATTTTCATTGGAGTCTCGCGGTAGAGATTACTAGTAATCAGAAAGACCGGCTGCAAAGGTTGGCTTTCAGAATAAAACTGGACTGGAGCTCCTCTAATGCTAAGGTCACATTTGCTGTTTTGATTGTCGAAAACTCAACAATTTATATCAATAATCCGCAAATGGTTCCCACTGTAATTTTTTCAGCCTTCTATGTGTGCTTTTTGTTGTCTTTTATATCATACTTCGTTCCATTAGACTGCCCGTGCGGGCCCCGGTTTGGAAATGCGACCTCAGCATAAGCCGTTCCGTGAAGGATAGTTACGAGGCTACTGGGGCAGGCGCCATGTATTTAAAGGCTGTGGAGTGTGTGACATGACAGTTATGTCGCCGCCTCACAAGGGCAGAGTGATGGACGGGACTGCTGAGGTCAGGGCCATAGCAGAGCGGCTATAAAAAAATAAATCAACCATGATGAAATGTAGGGGCAAGATTACAAGATTGGGGGCACGAGGAAGGTAGTCTCCACCAGGCTTTCCTACGGGGTGCGGATAGTAGAAATCGGCTAAAATTCAGTCGCTTCCCGAAGCATGTTAGAGGCTAGCTAGCCAAACTACACTGACTATCTCTATTAGCCTGCGTAGTCAGTCTAGTACAAGCTACGAGGAGGGACGTGGGGGAGTGGGTGGGTGGTACCGTTTAGTTTCCACCAAACTAACGATGGACGCTGATTGAAAAGTAGTAAAATTCAGCCAAATAATGAGAACAGTTTGCCAGCTGCAGGAAAGTTTGGGAAATGTGTAAAATGTGTTTATGAAGGTCACAGCCTTTATCCACACTTACTGGCGTGATGAAAACTGGTTATGAGGACAGACGGAATGTCGCCTAAGGTTTGATTAGGCTGATCGCCAACTGAACAGCCAAGGACGTTATTCGACCTTGACGAGGACGCAAAAGAACAAGATGGCGGAAACATAGAGTACCTGCTAATTGCCTACGTGCAACTGCAAGTTAATTAGGAGTTTGGCAGAAATAATCTACAGTATTCAAGCTCATGTCAGAAAAGAAAACACGTTTGTAGCGTTTTCCTGTCACACAACCATAAAACCCTCCAAGAGAAAAACGGAACGAATCACTACCACTCTCAACATTGACTCGGAGACGAATAATCTAAAATACTGACATCATGGAGGTAGAAATGCTGGCAGTAATGCCCTTAACTTGCTTGGTACGTGATCCTCAAGTGTAAAAAGTCACTGCTCATTGAAAGGTACCCTAACTGCCTAAGGCGTTACGGCAAAGGGCGTCTATAACTATCTTCTCACAAGTTGTTAACCTACAGACTACTTGGCATGTGTCCAGGCTAGGAAGTGGTTTCGTCAGATCGGGCTTGTGGTAAGGCTTCTGGTGGAGTTCTGTCCTTGTTGTCCTTACTGTTTACTTTACCAGCTCTGAAGGGCCTGAAAACACTGAAAATTTGGGATTAATTGGAATTACCTATTGTTATTGGGGATTTAAACGATCTTCATGAGACCTCCCT